GTAATAAAAAATTAATATTCATCTTCTAATGCTCTAAAATGTCCATACATTATTATTAATTTACCTGATCTGCTTTTATAYATCGCTTTTTAGATTACAATAAAACAATTATATTTAGTCATTGGTTACTAAGAAATAAAGAAATAATGCTCAATTTTGCTCAATTAGTTTTTCAAATCAACTTAAGATTTTAATAGTTTTCTGTTTGTAAATAGAACTCAGTATACTGTCTAATGCACAAATTATATAATCTATTTCAATAAAGTTATATCTAACAGATAATAAACGATAMATAATTCAATAATGGTGTCAAATTACCTATTAAATCTATCAAAGTTCCTTTTTCTAATATATTACACATCAATATTCATTTAATGTTTAATTTCCATAAATGTAACAAGAATAAAATTTATTGCACATGTAGCTGAAAACTAATTTTTAAATTAGCTTTTTAATKATTWGTTAACAATTAATAATATTATGTCAACTATCTGTAGWGTAAGCCTATCGAGTTCGATCAATGTTTCAATTTTTAACCAGTTATCAAACCAAGAATAATATTATTACTTAACACTGTTTATACAATTCATATGGACTTTTGATGTTAGTTATTCAACAATAAGCTCGTGCGTTCCAAGTGCTTATTATTACATCAATATGTTTAAGTTAAATTAGGCAGTAGGCATAACATAATAYTTTATAGTAATGTAAAATATTGTTTATTTTATTTATTCCTCTTATTTATTTATATTTTTTTAACGAGTTTAAATGTTTAAACGTAATTTGTGTTTGTGTATGTATGTATCTATGTGTGTGTGTATAAATATACACACAAAGATGTTTCAGAACAATATATATCTGTACATTATGTGACCCAAAGCTTACTGCTGAATACATTTATGATGTGTTTAATATTAATGTAAATTTTTTGAATATATATATATATATATATAATATACAAGTAGACGGTAAACAATTGTAATGTTTTAAACATATATTTTGTTAACATAATATATTAATTTAATATGTTTTATCCATAATATTATTTTAACATGTGCATTATACGTTATTATTTATTTGTAATCCAAATAAAATCAATGTTTTTATCGATGATTAAATTGTTTTGTTATTCGCTAATTCTGCATCGATAAACACCTGCAACTATAGGTGTGTCCGGCAATTGATTAGAGGCCATGGTAATTTTGATGATATTAGTTTATTCTATTATTTTTATAATAATAATTAAACCTAGTTTTAGATTCTGAACGAAGTGATGAATGTATTGATTTTA